TTTAGGTGACCTTCAAGGTGCTTGTCCTGTTCATCTCTCTTTGAACATCCGACGGAAAAGGGTCCGCGCCCCTATATACCCACCCCCCATTTTCGTGGAACCCGACTGGGGGGGTCCCTGGTTTGTTGTGAGAGGTTACAGGAGTCACAAAAACCTGCTCAAGGAATGGGGTCATTGTTTTACCAAAGGCACCCCTGTGGGCCAAAGGGAACCGGTTCTGACTTCGACTCCCACCCGATATTATGTAAAGAATCAAAAGGGAAACAGCCGAACTCTCACATTGACAGCGGGGATTTTCGAAAGGCAAAGATTTGAATGTTCGCATGTGTTGGGGTAAGAATTCCTAATATCATGGTCTTGGGTCCGACCTCCAGAATCGTTCACTAAGTTGTCTACCCAACGCAAGCAAGCAAGCAACTTACCCACCCAACCAACAACCCACCAACCCACCAACCAACCAAGGAGTCTTTTGACCATCACGTGGGGTGAGTCTTGCCACCAGACCCGAACTGGTGGACATCATTGGGGAGATTTAGCTCGCCACATGGCTCCCTCTCCCCAAAGCTCCATGGCCCCCCTCTCCAGAGTGCGCTCCATGGCGATCTCAACGGTGGGAGATCTGATCAAATCCAACACTAGCCAAGGATTGCTCCAAAGGCCCGTCGAAACTTGGCCAAGCAGAAGGAACTCTCAACCAATTTGTTGTGAGCTTCAAAACGACAACTGGTTTCTTGACACCGGTTTGGCAAAAGACACATCGAGTACCCTTGCTTCCGCTAATCGTGTTGGGGTTCATTCCCTGAGGATCTGGTCCCTAGACCATACCCCGCTTGTTTTCAACGGGGGGAGCCGGCTCCAGCCAAAGCTGCGGCGGCCACCACTCAGGTTGCCTACGGAAGCGATCCGACTGCAAGAAGTGCCTTTTGTTGGAAGTTAACTGTTTTGTGGGGCAGTTAACTTCTTTTGTTGGAAGTTGCCTTTTTGAGATTGGCTGAAAGGGGGCCAAACAAAAACACAACACTCAATTGAGTCTATGTGTGTCCCTCGGGTTTCACACATACCCACACGTTCCATGATCGAAGTTCCTTTCCATGGGTATGGTCATGAGGGAATCTGGGAATGATGCTATTTCCTACATGATGGCCCATAAAAATGGTGAAGTTAAAATGATAGCTGGTCAACCAACCCAGGACCAAGATCAAGCTGCAACCCCCCCGTGACAAAACAGGTCTTTATTCTCCCTTGCGCAATGCTGCTCGACTGCATGAGCTGGAAAAGAGGCCAATAGTCAAGGTTGGTCCGTCAAAGGACCTGATTCTTGTCTCGACCAGACTTGGACCCTGCAAAAAGTCAACTGTTTGCTGGACATTGCCGAACAACGAAGCTGACTTTTTGCTGGTTGAGGGGCAAAGGACGGAAAACCACAAAGCAAAACGTAAGGGTTGGTTTCGTCTGGCAACAATACGTTTTTGGATTGTTGTGCCCCAAAGGTCGGTCCCCAAACCAGTATCCATTTGCTCCCATAGGCTGTCGGTTGCTCTTGGCTTTCAGAACTGCAACACAAAAAAAACTACGGAAAGGGGGAGAAATATGAAAGCAAAGCAATGAGCACATCAACACACTTTGTACAAACAAACATAAATATCATCACAAACGCAACCCAAAGACTCACAAGGCAGAAGAAACACCCCCTGCCACCTGGAAACGTTTTAAGAACTCAGGGCTTCCGATCGAAGGTGCGTAGGCCACGGAGATGTCACTGCCCCGGCGTCAGGCTTGGTTCATTCCACCAACACCCTCTTGCCCCGGACAACAAATTACAAAAGACACTGGAATTTGGGGGTTGTCCCCTTGGTTTTTGTCCCACGTCCTCCCTAGGCAATAGCAGGCTAATGCCAGCTACTCATATGAGCCGCGATCAACATTATCTGTTGGCTCGTGAACCCATGTCCGAAGGATCCATTTGAGTAGTTGGGTTCATTCTACTAAGGTGCCGCTCACATTGAGGTTGCTCAAAATAACACCCCATGTTTATTCGGCTGGAAAAAGGTGGAAAAACAAAGGATATGTTTAGGGATCCATATTGCTATGAATTTAAAGCGCTGGGTCCACCTCAAAGTGTTGGTGGACATGAAGATGTCCACCTAAGAGTCCCAATAAAATTCACGGCCACATAGCTGTGTCTCCTTTCAGGGGCCCCCCAAATAGGTGTTTGTTCTTGTGGTTTCCATTAAAACTGCAAAACTGGTACCGAAAGAACGACAGCCCATTGGGGGCAGCAGGTGGCATGACCTTTCCTGCCGTGCTATATAAGCCTTGCACAACCCGATGACTTGCAAGAGTCGTTCTGGGGCTTCACACGCAAAACTGAAAAGTAAACCAGTAAACCAACATAGCGTTGCTAAACGGATACATGTTGGCATTGGAAATCAGACTTACAAGCTGATTTAGGGGGTGTTCGTGTGAATCAGGCATGAATATATCTTTTGGGGAGCCATACACAAGGACACCTGTTTGGCAGTTTGAGACACACCAATTTGGGTGAAGCCTGGGGCTATACCCAAACGATTGCAATGTTACAAGCGCACCTACTTGCTGTTGGGGCTGCTACATCCATCCGGGATTGGATTATGGTCAAAGTTCACGCTCTTTCCGACATCCAAATGCCTCTGTGGCGGTTACCTGCCCGCAATCAAGACCCGGAGGGCCACAAATACGCCGTATACATATTAATGACCTTTTCCCAATCGTGGAGCTGAATAAGAGGCCTGTTCAATAGGATGTTTGTCTTAAGATCTTCGCTCCTGTTCGATTTCTGGAAAAAGGGCAAATGTGTCTGCATGGAAATCATTCAAAAATTGGAAACCCCGTCACAACTTGATGGTGGACACCAATGTCCATGTAAAGGTCCGCCACAGGGTCCAAATTAAATATCACATCCAGTCGCTCGTCGATTTGCGCGCAGCATTTCAGCTCCACATCTCCAACCCTAACGTATCGTGCATAATCTTTGTACGCGCATTATTGCCCTAGGAGCATGCCGGAGGTTGGCTTCATGGAACCCAAAACCGATTACACACGTGTTTAGTCAACTTTATTTACATATATCATGTGTCCAAAACCATCTGAGGAGACCCCAGTTTAGGGGGAACTCATTGATTTGCTAGGCGTCGAAAGGACAACCCACCTGTCGGTCGATCCCTCGCCCCGTGGCCTTTTTTTCGCGTAGCGGTTGCAAAGTGGCGGAGTCTTTGAAACGCAGAGCCACCGGTTCCGCGAGTAAACCCAACTCTCGTTGGGGATGCCATGGGCATGTGTTACAATGCATGGCATGCCAGGAAATATAAAAACACATATGCTCAGCTCATGTTGCATACTGTAGGTAGTCAACCTTAAGATAACAATTACTTTTGGAGAAGTGAGCTTTCGGCGATACCCAGGTCCTCTGTGGAGTGTCAAAGGGAAAGCCCACTCAATGCGTATCACCGGAAGGCCTCTTTTTGGCAGGCTGCTCACAAAAGGGGCACCGGGCCGATTGTGTGGGGGGCTTTTTCATCAAGCCATTGGAATGAGTTTAAGCCGGGACCCTGTGGACATCATTTAGTATTTAGGGGGTCCAAGCCCAAAAACTTTGGTTCTCAGCAGAAATGCTGGCCGTTTTTTGCCCAAACGGGCGCCCTAGCTTCCTCATGTGGAAGGCCATTCCCGGTGGATGGTGGTTTAAGGCGGGCCGAAAGGACCCCGTCCTATACGGGAACCCTCAAAAGACGGGTGGAATCTGTTTGTTTCCCCTGGACAAGGAAAGAAGCAACAACCTGCTATAGAAGGAGTCTGCCACAATCTATGCAGTTTCGGGGCCCCCAAGTTTCTCAGAGGCTAGTTTTTACGCTGTCACCTTCGGTTAGGCTGGTGGTGTTATCACTCGAAAGCTTGTAACGCATGCCCTAAACAGGCAGGCAAAGAGCGAGGGCGCGACGCGAGCGAAGCTGGACGGCTTGCAAGTCAATTTGAATTGGAGCTTTTTGGGGCATAGCCGGGTGCTACAAACGGTCAGGAAAAACCAATGATTCATCCCTTTTGGTGTTCAGGGGGGCATGTATCAAATGGATCTTGGCACTTTTCAGCTGTTTTCCTGACCCTCTCTCCGAAGCGGACTTCGTCCCTATTGGTCTGAAAACAGCAAGGCCGAATCCTGCTGGTGGAGGGGTAATGACTAAATTCCCTCTAAATCCAGCGAGGAATTGAGGCTAATCTTACCCAACTCCAGACCCATAATTTAGCTGTGTCGACTCGCCCATCAATTGCTTCTGGTCCATGTTCTCTATTTTGACACATAAGTGGTTCGTAGCCTGGTTCTGGGCCCCTTCTTTGTGATACAGCGGAGGAACAAACATACCCATGATCAGGCCATGACTTTGAAGATGCAAGAGAAGAGCTGTCTGGCCCCTTTCCCGCGGCATCTTCCTCTCGCGGGCATCTCTTTTGTACTTAAAGGTCATTGGCCTTGCGTTTCGGGGAAACCCCACAGGAACCGAAACGCAAGTAGGGGGAGTTGGTCAAAAGAGGCATGCATCCCCTTTAGGAACTTTAGGCGGCACCTTGGGCAGGGTCCAAGAAGACATATCAACTGCAGTTCTTCGATTTGTGCCCAAAGACTGCCACGCGCCAAAAGGGGTACTGGAACCGCGGAAACATGTGTCACTAATCCCCGCCCCCCACCCCACCCCGTCCCACCCCCGAAAAAGGATGCCGTTGACCGAAGCTTCGATTCTAAAGCCAACAGACATGTTGCATATTTTATCTACCCTAGAATCCGAGAGTAAGAGATCATTTTGAAGACGAAGGTTGGACCGCCGACCGAGACCCTTCGAACGCCAAACAACATGTTTCCCGATTCGGGGACCCCGGAATCAAAAACGGGGTGGCTTCAGAAGAGAATGAGTGAAGAGACTTGGGAATCAACCCCTTAGATGACGGGTGCATCAAAACGATCCACTCCAAGCGAAATGAACTTACCATCCAGCCGTGCTCGATGGGCACAGCACTCTCCGGCCAAAAGGGAAAGCGCAGTCGAACGCTCAGCCGGACTCGATGAGAAGCTTACCTGGCGAAAAAGCCAAAATAAAGTTATGTGGGTCAGACTGACGCCGGCAAGAAAGAGCTCCTTTGCGAGCTCGTGGGAGACTGCCGGTTGCCACAAGGCTAAAAGGTTACCCTCCCTTGCACTAACCGTTATGTACTAAGATGGCTAGTACAGGGAGGAAGGGTAGAGGTCACCAAGTCTCGTTCTGGCTGGGGGCACCGAAAAGTCAACGCCAGGTTTTTTAGTGAAAATCGGAGGGCAGGATCACAGAGCTTCTCCTGCGTTGCAACCAAATCTACCCAAGGAGTCTACTCAAGGGGCTTCATGCACTCATGGGACTTCCTCTGGATGGTGCTGGCTCAAGTCATTTACCACTAGCGGTCGTGAATTGAAAAGAAACGTCTAGCTGCTAACTTCGGCTCGCCTCTGTTGAGTTGAGCTCAAGTTGAACAAGACCAAGCTTGTCTGGCGCATCTAAAGATCACAAGCGGAGAAAGAAAAAGAACCCGCAGGAAACCAACCACTCGGAAGGAACCGGAAGGAAACCAGCCCAACCAGAAGGAACCAGAAGGAACCGGAAGGACACCAACCCAAAAAGAAGGAACCGCAAGGACATCAATCCAAACACAAGGAACCGTAAGGATACAAGCAGAAGGAATCAGAAGGTGGTTGGAACAACAATGATGGAGCCCCAGTTCTTCTTGGACCTCTTCGATCCCCCAGGTGGCAGAAAGTGTCGGCTTTGATGGGTCAACTTGATAGCCCACATCAAGCAATCACGCTGCCCTGAAGTTACAAAAGTAGCCCAATCATTCCTTTATTTAGGTCGACATCTCCCCATTGACACATCGCCGCTGAAGCTTTTTTTCTTGACCAGACTTAAGCCGAACCCATGCAAAAGATAACTGGAATATCTAGAAGCAAAAATGATAGAACATGGACAATGCAAATCATTGAAACGGCTAAACGTTACGCCTGCGAATGTTTAGGTCCCATTCAAAGCCCCGGAAGTGGTGAAACGCGGCATTGGCAGCGGGGCGGGGACCCAAGTCCCGGCCTTTTTGCAGGAATTGGAACACCGCCGTCGCCACCTGCACAACGATCCGGAGTCTTTGAACAATGGTTTAAGCCACGAATTGTTCAAACAACCTCCTCTGGGTTCCCCTTTAAAGGGAGGATAATAGTTCAAAAGGCCCTGTTTGGGGTTCCCTGTCAAGGAGACCAGGGGTTGCTTGCTTAAGCCACTTTTGCTTTGTTCAATGCGCCTTTTGGTTTCCCTTTCCAAGTGGACCAGGGGCTTGCGCTTGAACCACTAAAATATTGTAAAAGCAACCTCCTTTGGGGTTTCCTTTGAAGTGGACCAGTTTCCAGAAACTGGCCAGGAACAAATTCCTTTTTTGCTTTTGTTTAAACTGCGCGGGCTGGGCGCTTAGCTTAACAGCATTTGCCCAAGCCTGATCGGACATGCCAATGTCCAAACCTTGAAACCTTCTACGGGATCAAGAAAATGGGGGGGGGGGGGGGAAACGCACGGCGTCACGGTTTAACACAACAGAAGGAAGTCCAAAGGAAAGCAGAGGTTGTTGTCCCGATTCTTGGGGCAAGCTTGGCATACCGAGAGGGATCTACCACTGCCGGCTAAAACAAGATTAATGAGTTTAAAAAGGATTATCCGTCAGGTACTTCGAACCAAAATAAGTCACGATGGCAAAATGATATACTCGAGCCATGGGTTGTCTCGCGAAATAGAATCCATTGGTGCCTTACTTTTGCCTCCCACCAACTTGGGGTTCCCAAAAAAGTGCATGTCCGATGCCTCCTGCTGCTCCGGGTTCTTGTCGGGGTGCCACTTGCGCAGGAGCACCCGGAACTCCCTGAGCGACTGCGGCCAGCAAAAAGTCTTCAACAGCTGCTTCCGCATCGCTATGGTAGAGATACCAGGAAACGAGCAAACCAGTTTAACACTTGGTGCTGAGTGGAAAAACACGACCTGCTCGACCAAAAAAAGAAGCTTGAAGCTAATGATATATAGCAGTCACGAGTATAGCAGGAAACGCGTGTGTGCTTGTTTGTTGTTTGGTTGTTTGTTTGTTTGCTTGCTCGCTCGCTTGCTTGTTTGTTTGTTTGTTTGTTCTTTTTTGTTTGTTTGTTTGTTCATTTGGGGCTCAGTACCCTTTGGTTGGTGTTTAGGTTTGAACATAAATTCATGCCGGCATTTTGTTGGCAAATACCCAAGCTGGAACTTGCTGCCGTGGTATAAAAAACAATTGAAGGCTTGCGCCAGAACCGGCCGGCATTCGTTCCAATCGGTCCCGACCCACTTCTGCAATACGTTCACAGTTGTCATGTGTTGCCAATCGACATCCATCCTTATGGAGGGGCGCGTCAGAAATACCCAGAAGGAAGTCAAGTGGGTGTGACGTTTCTGAGGGCCCTCCTGTGTTTGTGGCTTAAGGGAAACTAAAATGAACACCAGCATTTGGGGGGGGGGGTCCCGGAAAAAAGACACACCCAAGGAATCGTTGGAGCTGACAAACGCGCGTGCAAAATGATGGCTTCTGTCGGAAAGAAGCGGGGCACTACCCCTGTGTGGGGCAAAAAAACACCCATGTTTGGAGCAACAGACCCTTCTCCCCCCTTCTTGGCACCAAGCAGAAGGACTTCGACGCCCATCGCGCAAAATGTTCGGCAAAAGGGCGAACCCGTTTGTCTCACTGTGGGCCATGGCCAGGGCAAGTCTTATGCCAAAATGCTCCAAACCTTGACAAAAGTCCTCTGATTGCCTTGGGACTTCGTGTAACACAAGGGGGTACCCCCAAGTTCTCAAAGGACACTTCTCCTCTTCACGCCCCACGTTCTCTGTACCCCTCCACAAACCTACGGTTTGGGCAGAACCCGAGTTGCGCCCCCCGGTTTCGGATTGGTCGGGGCACGGCACGGAGCTTCCGGGTCCCCCGGCTTGAGGCGCTGCTCCTTGGGCTCCGCCTTCAACTTCATCAGCGTCTCCAGAGCCTCGGCGACGCGAGCCGAGCCGAGCCGAGGCCTGGCTTGAAATGTTCGGACTTGGAACGGAAGAAAAATGGAGAAAAGTGGCGGAGCCAAACAAACCGGAAGTTTGAGAGTTGGAAACACCAACCACTTGTGGTTGTTGCGCATGAATCTCCATGCAAATGATGTCCACACAGTCCCCAACTCAAGATTCATATTCAAACGAACGCCAACGCCTTCCTTGACCGAGCCCAATTGTGAAGCAGGCAAGAGTTGTGTCTTCTGAGAGTCGGGTCGCGACACCTTCGACACGGCTTCGGTTACGAATTTCTCCCAACCAAAGTTTACCATACCCGTGGGCAAGTTGTCCTTGTTTGAACGTGGCGCCAATACACGGGAGATCTGCTGGGGAACGAGTTTCCACTTTTTGGAGAGTCATGTTTCCGACTATAAAGGGTCACTAACGTGGAACAAAACAACGGCTTTTGGCCAGTCAGTTAAATTGCCGGAGTGTGCTTGAAACCGGCGCCTGGCTTGATGGAAGCATGGCGTACGGGAAATGCAAGCACCGGGACCTAAAAAAAAGAATCTGTAAAGCTACTGCGACTCCAATGGCCAAAATGGAGCGCCGTTTGGAAGGGTTTGGTTTGTTTGTTTGATGAACATTCTGGGGCGTATCGTCGTAGAACTCCTATTCACATAGACCCGGGGGAAAATAGGCAAAAGGGGATCCCTAAAAGGGATGTACCAAAAGCTAGCCACCTTTTTGGGGCCGACATGAAACCACTTTGAAGGAAGAGTTTCAATTGCTTGGGAAACATGGCCAACGCCCCGGAGCATGTAAGGGTTCCGATCCAACATGAAGGTGCTTCAAAAGAAGGTGGATATGAATGGGGCAAGACGCAAGGCCCGGCCAACTTAGCTGATGGCAAGCAGATCCCGTCACCTCGTGGGCCTTCTGGGATCCGAATTGGCACAGAGTCGCGCCACTTGCGCCAGGTACTCCGCGAGTTGCGCGGTGTACCGGATGACCCGGTCCAGCGGCAACTCAACAAAGTGGGGTGGCAGGTGTCTGTTTTCTGCCCTAAAAGTGGGAGGTGTCTCTTCTCGAGGTTCGGAGCAACACATGGCTCTGGAAAAACTCGTACAGCATTGGGTCTCCCATCCCATGACGTCACTTGAAAGGAAAGTCCCTTGGTGCACAGAAAGCGGGCCTAAAAAACATTTTACCACAACTGTGCATGTGGGTGTCTTTTTTCAGGCACCCCCAAACAAAAACATGGTGGTGTTCCTTTCTCAAACCAAACACTCCCATGTCTCCATAAGCCAAGGTCGCATTCCCTCGCCCATCGCGCCTCAGCCTTGGCTTTCTCAATCTCCGGATTTGTCTGCGCCGGGGGAAAGGCTGGCTACTTAGATCCCGATGAGTTTCAAGGGTGCCTGTTTTGCCTGCTACAGGGCAGGTGCAGCAACGATGTCTAATTCCAAAGGAAGCTATTTGAAACCATGTCATGCAAGAAACACATTTTCTGTGTGGGTGGTTTTAAAGCTCGAAAGAGAAATCTGCTGATGCTGGGGGCTGCCGTTGTTGCACTTTCAGTTGTAGTTATTGTAGTTATTGTAGTTCTTGTAGTTGCAGCTGCAGTTGTTGCTGATTTCGTGGTGGTGGTGGTGGTGGTGGTGGTGGTGGTGGTGGTTGATGTTGCTGTTGCTGTTGCTGTTGCTGTTGTTGATGATCATATTGTTAATGTCATTGTGTTGAGTACAGAACCATGATACCCGCCTTGGCCTCCGCGTCTTCCTCCCCTTTCAAAGATCGCACGCTGCTTCTTGATCCTGGGAGTGTGGGGGGTACGTGGTCTCCCCGCCGTCACTGGAAAGGCCCCTGAAAGCCAGCCAGACGTGGGAAATGACCCCTGTGATACCAAAATGAACCACCCTTAGGCATCCTTTTGGGTTGGGAAAGGATGGCTGTGGGGAATTACCCTTATGACTACGTCTTGTCATCCTTTTTTCCCACATGCCGCCATGTGTCTTGAAAGGGGTATCCCAAAATGGGTGCTCCTTTTGTCCGTCGAAACCAACCCCAAAAATGATACCCACAAAACGACAGACCGACCCATTTGTCAGCGAGAGTCCTTCCGGTACGCCCCGAAACCTACCCACAAAAAGTTAGAAGCTTGGCAACTCTATGATGGCAAAAAATAAGTAATAAGCTTCCCTAACTAAACGGGAAAGCAACATTGAAACTCAACTCGAGTTTGCCAACCCAACCAACAGCAGCTTTCCAATCCTTGGCGGGTAGCAAAAACGAGGTTGTTCTTTGACAGCCGCCCACTAAAGCTAACCAGAACAAGCCAAAAAGGCAAAAAAAAACAAACCAAAAAATTACACCAGCGTAGACCCCAGATAGCACATCGCGGCTACGAACCATTATGCAGCATCATCATGGTTCCCGAGGCATCATGATGATGTTGACAGCATCATGATGATGTTGAAAGCATCACGCACAGCCACTCAGCATGTGCGCTAAATAGACACGAAGACAGCGTCCTAATGAGTTCAGCAGCAAAAATGATGATGTTGACAGCATCATGCTGATGCACCAGCAACGAACGATCCCGCGCCACATATCTAGCAGAAAAAAGGCAGAGACGACGTCCTGATGAGTTCGACAGCATCATGATGATGCGGACAGCATCACGATCATGCGGACAGCACCACCATGATGCGGACAGCATCATGGTGATGCGAACAGCATCATGGTAATGGTAAAATTGAAAAGGCAGCATGGTGATACCACAGCCACGAATCTTCTCGCGACAGCGTAGTGAAATTCAGCATAATCCTGATGTTGGCAGCAATCATGGCGCCACCACACCTACGAACCATAACGCAGCATCGCAGCATCGCAGTGACAGCAGCATCATGACGCGGGTGACAACATCATGATGACACACCAGCCACGAACCACGCACCATGACAAACGACTGTTAGACTACTAGAGCAGCAACAACGTCCGAACCGGTTCAACACCCTGCCGTCCATATGCGCCCACACCGTCACCAACACCTGAAGACAGCAGCCCCAACAGCACCCCAACGCAGCACCCACACCAGCATTGAACAGCTCCCCGAGCACCAAGCACCTTGCCGTCACGTACTGTCACCAGCCCGAACAGCACCTCAAAACTGTACCTGCGCCAGCGCCCCAAAGTGCATGCCCCCTAGCTCCCAACCGTCGATCTTGCAACACAATCCCACTTCTTCATTAGAAGTTAGAACCCCGGCAACCCAACACAGCAGTTGCACCACCACCCCAAACTGCGTCAAGCTCGCAAAACAGCACCAGCACCCCGAACTACATCTGGCACCCGGCCGTCAATCTCGCAAAACAGCACCTCCACCAACACCCGAAACTGCATGCCCCTAGCACCCGGCCATCACTCTCGCAAAACAGGCAAACACTCTCGACCCCAAACTGAATGCCTTTAGCACCCGGCCAACTCTCGCAAAACAGCACCTCCACTAGCACCCCAAACTGCATGCCCCCTAGCACCCGGCCATCACTCTCGCAAAGCAACACCTCCACCAGCACCCACTGCATGCCCCGTAGCGCTCGGCCATCAATCTCGCAAAGCACCTTCACCAGCACGTCACACCTGGCACCCGGCCGTCAATCAGCACCTCCACCATCACTGTCGCAGAACAGCACCTCCACTAGCACCCCAAACTGCATGCCCCCTAGCACCCGGCCATGCAAAACAGCACCTCCACCAACACCCCAAACTGCCTGCCCCCTAGCACCCGGCCATCACTCTCGCAAAACAGCACCTCCACTAGCAGCATGCCCTTTAGCACCCGGCCATCACTCTCGCAAAACAGCACCTCCACTAGCAGCATGCCCTTTAGCACCCGGCCATCACTCTCGCAAAACAGCACCTCCACCAACACCCCCAAACTGCATGCCCCCTAGCACCCTGCCATCACTCACGCAAAACAGCACCTCCGCCAGCACCCCACTGCATGCCACCCGGCCGTCAATCTCGCAAAACAGCACCTCCACCAACACCCCAAACTGCATGCTCCCTAGCACCCGACCATCACTCTCGCAAAACAGCACCTCCACTACTAGCACCCCAAGCTGCATGCCCCCTGGCACCCGGCCGTCAAGCTCGCAAAGCAGCACCTCCACCAGCACCCCAAACTGCATGCCCCCTAGCACCCGGCCCTCAATCTCGCAAATCACTTTTCCTTCTTTATTAGAAGTTAGAACCCCTATAGCTTTCAGCTATCTGGGGAAAAACGCCAAGAAGAGTGAAGCCCGCTCCCCTCGCACAGCCCTCCATACCCGGAGACATCTCCGGCCCGCGGCCGGGGCCAAGGCTGGAGGAACTGGAGGAGGAGCTGCTCCTGGCACCGCAGACCCCCCCCCCCCCGGCAGATCCAGAGCCAAAGGGCTACAATGATTCCCCAAAACCTGAAATCAGGAATTCCCGAGTAAGGCAAGAAGGTATCCGTCTTGGCACCTCAAATGGGTCTGTTTTCTTGCCGTTGTTCTTTTTGGGGCTGCGTTCGAAGGAAACCGAAAGGGAGAACAACGAAAGGTCGAAGGAAACCAAACATGGAGAAGCCGTTGTTCCATCTGTGAAGGCGGAGTACGATCCCGTAGTTTCTTTTTTTTTCGGGACGGGGGATCCACCGCAGTTCGGCTCATCCCCTGGAAAAGGTCAAGCCGCATGCTCGCGCGAGCGAGCAACGCACTCCCGGAATGGCGTCGCAGGGTCTGTGGGCAAACTATCTTTCTTGCAACACAGGTTTCCTGAAAGATACATCCAAACACCCTGCTTTACAAGGATTTGGATCCTCCAAGTCAGCTGGTATTTTGTGATTTGCTTTACTGGCCTGTCTCGCTCTTGAGCATGGCGCCTTTGGAGAAAACCGGTGAAATCTGTTTGGTCTTGGCAAAGCCCAATGCAGGGAACCGATTCAAGGTCCACTTCCAAGGTATGTGTCAAGTGTTTTGGACCTGTCTGGCTTCCCTATAAACCAACCTGAGGCTCGGGTACCCTCACAACACACACCCGCAAAAATCTGCTTGACCAGGTAAACGACCTCATCAAAACGAGTGCCGCACACAACCGCACCAGGCGCCTCTTGTCCTTCTTGTGCTTCTTCCGCCTGGGACAAAATGGCGAGACACTCTTTATCCAGGGTGCGAACATGTTTTAAGGGACCTGGGAACTTCATACAATGATCCGTTCCGTTGGGCTCCTTCCGCTCTGCTTAACTTAGTAACTTGTTAGCTGTCTAGTTGACACCCATCTGATTTGCTGACATGCAAGATGTGCCAACAGTTCCCCGCCCAAGCGATCCACGAAAAAAGGAAGGCCTCAACGAACCCATTCAGCCCGGCTACTCACAGCCCGTTTGTCCTGGCCAGGTCTTTGTGGTTTGAGCTGCAGTCCGCCCCCAAGATGGGTGTATGACTTCTTGAGGGTACCCTTTTTGCGCGGGGAAAGCAGCGGGAAGCCCATTTGGGCGTTGCCCTTTGAGACAAAATATTCATGGTGCCCATGTGGAGGTGACTAGCCCGGACTAGCCTCGCCCCCAGCCCTTACATCCCGAACATGGACTTGTCCTTTTGGAGTTGATACCTTGGGGTGTTCAATAAAAAGGGAAGCCCGAAAAAGAACCCGAAGCCCATGTTTTGGGGTTCAGTGTCTTTTGTTCGGCGCTCCCATATTGGCCGTTGCGAAGATGATTGGCCTGGTCAAACTGATCAGCTCAAAAAGTGGAGCTCGCGTGTTGCGGTCGGGAACTTGCAAGTAGTTGGGTGACTCTTTGAACGTGCTCTAAAAAAAATAGTTGCTTTTGAATGCTACACGCGTGATTGCCTTTGGGTGCCAAGGATCTTATCCCGCTTGTCTGAACCCGAACAGGTTCCCAGTTGGATGTTCGCTCGGCCCTTTCGCTCGGTCTTACGCCCGCACAAAGGCTCTGAGGCTCCGAACCGCTTGCTGCTGGAAGAACTACTGACAGGCAAGTGCAAAAATGGCAAAAGCGGCACCAGCAGCAGCTTCCCTCTTTTTGGGAACCCTGAAAAACGAAACCCCCACTTTAAACCGCCACCAAAAATAATGAGAGGGACTGGTTCTTCAAGGACCCTTTTCTACTACAGTAACTCACTTTTTGCCCCCTGCCGTAAAATGACTATGGTCCGTCCCATGGTGGAAAGGTTTCAGAAGCAGTTTCGGTGCTGTTGGGGTAGATTCTGCTCCGTACTCAGGGAACTTGACAATGTAAACAACATGATTTGCAGACTCTGTCTCAAGTCTAGCTTACCCTGTTTGAAGTAGTTTTGGAGAAGACCCCGGGTAAAATGATGTCGCGAAAGACCCCTTTTGATGAAGGTTGGTGCTTAGGAAGGTGTGCTAAACTATATTCTGAGCCCTCTACCGTTGGGATGATGTGCAAGGAAGGGAACCCAATAAGAAACCAGCACACCACTGCTCGGGAGGGAACCTGGCAACAACAAACCGAACCAAAAACCTAACAACTGAACACATGCCAAGAACGGTGAAGCTTCCCAAACCTCACGCATGGGTGTTCTCAGCGCTTCCCTTTCTCTCCAAGTGGGCGCACTTGTTGGCTTCTCCCTGCACCCCACCTTGCAGTACCTTTCAGGCCCATTCTCTTCAGGGATCCTTCTCCAAAAGTGGGCCACCCTTCTGAAAACAGAACGAGGGCTGAAGAGCATTGGGAAGCCAGCCTTAGACCACTTCCATTTGCTTAAGCCCCCTGAACCAAAAAAACAATACCAGTTGCCAGCAGAGATAGCCTTCAAAAAAGAAAAGTGGGGAAAGCAACCCTGAACCCCCAACCGCCACGAGCCAAACCCGAAAACCACCAACCCACCCCGAAAACTCACCCCAAACAGTGGCGAAATCGCCTCGAAGGACTGGGACTTCGCCCTGGGACTTCGGGCAGCGGGGACACGACTCCTTTCGGTCGTGACATTTGGCTTAATCAACGTGGCAAGAAACAAGAAACTTGTTTGGGGGAGTTGGGGGACTTGGGGGAGTTGGGGGAGTTGGGGGACTTGCGTCTCCCCAAAAGTGATCCGGCCCCTCGGAAATGGGGCGAGCTGTTGGCCAAACCGGACTGCTTGTCGAGTGCTGGGCCGGAGCAGATGTTTCGTGTGTATGTGGGTGTGTCCACGGGTGTCACTCAACACTTGGAGCCCCTTTTCGACCATAAAGCCAGGGACAACATGATAGACCAGCCGCAAAAATGGTCTTCAACGGTCTTGCAAGGCGACGTGCTCACTTCCTGAGTCGATTGGCCAAGCAGATTGCCATTGAAAAATTGTCGTTTCAAAAGTAAGAAGTCCAGGAAGTCAGGGAGTGAGGGCGACTGTCAGGAGCCGCACCCGAGGTATCCGTCGAAACGGGCGACCTCTGGAACACTTTGTTTGGAACACCGTCTTTTAGGCAGTCATCTTGGAGATGGTACTCTGTTTTGGGGTGGACACAAAAGGGAAGCCAAGCGGAAGCAACCCATCTGTTTCGGTCCCCTATTTCGACACATTCTCGTGCAGCTGCGTTTCAAAAGTTGGCTTCCCTCCAATTGGTTGGCCTCCTTCAAATATAAAAAAGACCCAACCACCAAAAAACTTGAGAACCCCGTTCCCCAAGGGGCTTCCCACAAGAAAAAAAGATGGCACTAGCCGCACTAGTACTACATAATTGAAGCCGTTTTCCGAGTCTTCCGCAAAGAAGGGGGCGTGAAACCAGAAACGGCATTCCAGGTGTCAACCCCTCCCGCAATTGCATTTTCATGGGGAGGGGCATCCTCCAATGCAAAATGTGGGCAACTTACGATAACTCCCAAACTGGAACGAAGCGATCTCCGCAGTAAGAGACCTTCCTGGCGACCTAATTTTACCCTCAAATTCGGTGAGCTCGGGAAACAACTTCCCAGAATGTGAGTTTCCGCCTCTTCCAACCAGCGTTGAGCCGATCCATAGGTATGTTTTTTGAGGGGACCCCCCAAAATGATGGTATTGCCTTTGGTTGGATTCCCCAAAAAAGACACCCACATGCTTACACCACTCTTCTGCTTTCCCTTTGAAAGGGCCCAGGATCTGGTTGAAGCAAATATTGTGCAACCGCCGCCCCACCCCCCGGTTCCCACTGTGGGGCAGCAATTTAGGCCCCGGCGCTTGCTCGGGCTCTTGGTGGGCGGCGGCGGCGGTGGCGGCGGAACATTCGCCCCGCCCATCAAGCCTTTTTTGTACCTCAGAGAGCCAGGGGTTGGTGCGGGTTCCATATGGGCAGCATCCCAAACCCATTGACTGTTGGCTCTAGATGTTTACAATGTATATAGATGCCATAACCCGCGTCAAAAAGGAAGCATAGTTTTGAGCGCTCGTGCTTTTCATTACCAAGATAACTTCAACCTAGGGGCTACCTGTTAAGGAGTCCCATGGGGCTAAGTGTACCTTCGGGTCAACAAATGGAAGCCGGGCAAGCCAGCTCGAGCTTGAAAAGGTCCCAGTCTCGCGGAGGAGCCCTTGAGTCTCCAAGTTTGACTGGGGAGGCATCTCTGGTAATGGTCAACGAAAAAGGCAGGAACATGTAGTAAAGATGGGTGTGTGTTTTTTTGAGCGGAAACCCCAAAGGAACCACCATTTTGAGGGATCCCCAAAAGATAGCATCCCCATGTTAGACGTTCATGCCAAAGTGATGATGAGCTTTGCCTGAGATACTACGCTGCTGCAGCTTGAGCTTCTCTTCGCAATCCGACAACGGCACCAGCCGAGCAAAACGAACGGCAAACTTTGCTTTGACAGCACCCACAGTCTGAGCCGGGACGATGATCAGGCACATGTGGAGGGCGAAGCACGCCGGATTGTCGACATCAGCGTACCCCTGCTAGACAACATTGTCTTGGCGCAAAACGGGAGCTCCTTGATCTGCTTCATAAGCGCAAACCACCGATTGTACTCATGCTCATTGAAACCACTGAACATGGCCTCATCAGTCGCGGCAATTGTCTCCTCTGTCTTCATTCCAACCTCTGCGTCACTCTTTAAGCCAGTTTTGCCTTGGAGCCTTGCGATCCAGCCTCTGCCACCATCTTACGGGTCGGGCAAAGCTTGGCGCAACCAGCCCTGGTCGCCTTTATAAAAAAAGGAGGTTGTCTAAACCACAATGGCGATCTGGTTTAAGCCAGTGGTTGAAGCACCCACGGGGCCCCAAAAGTGTAGAAACACTCTTTGCAGGCCGGAAGTAGGCTGTTTGCTGGCCATCCCTTCCAAGGAAGGCACGGCGAAGCAACAGTCCGACGGAAAGCGGACAAGCTCAACTGCGGCCGAAACTCACTTTCTGAAAAAAAGGACTTTTGGCTTACCCAAAATGATCTTCCCACAAATCTCAATTCCAAAAGCAGGTGCAAGGACCCTGTTTTCGGTTAAAACAAAAACGGGGAGGGGAGGGGGGGCTCTGAGGCTGGAGACATGACCAGCACAAATGCGGCCATTGCCAATGGTTCACACTCTCAAGGGGAAACCTGAGGATCATGACCCTTATTGAGACCCACAGAAGTGGAGAACCAATCCTCAGGTTTCACCCCCGGAAAACCAGCGAAACGGACCCGTCAGAGCCCAATGTTTGGCCGAACCTCCAGGCTCGACCTTGAACGGGCTGGAAAGGTGATGTCGAAAAAGAAGAAGAAGAGAAACAAAAAAAAGAAACATATTCGCCTCCCAGCGACCAAGGAACCTGACAGGGGGGGCCTTGGAAGACCATTTGCCTTCTGAAGGGTCAGGTTCCATGTTAGTGGACAGGAGGGTAGCTAGAGCGAAACCGCCGAACCATCCAACGGGCGCAGGGCGAAGCGAAGCTCTGGTCCCTCAGTCCCCCCGCATCTCCCGCATGGCCCGCGAGCCCGCGTGAGGCGAGAGGTGGCGCTTGGGCGCCGGAGCGACGACTGGCGAACGCGCCGCGCGGAGATGTAAATCGAAGACGTAAAACGAAGGTGAGGGAAACCGCCCAGTTGCGTGGTTTTGGCTCCCATTTTGAGGCGGGCTTAAAGGGAGACCAAAAGGAAACAACCACTTTGGCGCACACGATGTTGAGAAACCACCCATTTGGGGATGAACATTAGTGGTGCAGCCTTGGTGGACATCATGGTGGGCTGCAACAAAACTGGGGGCCACTGAGTTTGAGGGAGTTCATTTTGAGGGACCGCTGAATAACACACAATGGCCGTTGGATGTTTCAAGGGAGGCCAAACACAAACATGTCGCTGGCACTTAGGGTCCGAAAACCAGAAACAAGGTGTCTAAAGCGACAGCAACAACAAAAGGAGCCCCTACTTTTTGAACCCCCCCCCCCACGCGTAGCGGCCCCTTCGTATTCAGAACTCACTTTTGGCCACCTGATTTCATGTTGAATGTTGGCGAATATGATGACTGCATACGCATGTGTTTTAGTTTGTTTAAGGGTGGGCAAGGCTGTGGATGCTTGATGAGCGTTGCTAGAAAACCTACTGTACAGGTTGAGAGGGCCGCTCGCACTATGCGCTTTTGCGGCCGGACCATCTGTGTTGATTTCCGGTATCTTTCCGCGGTCCGGGGTCTTCAAACCCCTCCACACCGACCAGCGATCTTCAAACATGCCAATTTCGGGTCTTGCTTTCAGCCACTGTCGTGTAAACAGATTCAATTGCCCAAGGGCCCGGAAATGAAGGCTAACCCTTCCGGGCCTCGACCAACAATTGCCAAGAAGGGGACAGATCAATTTGAGGCGTACATTCATTTGGACAACTAAGTACCTGAACCGCCACTGGTCCAGAAACAAGGGGCGTGGCGGTTTGGCCTCCCTCCCCTTCTAGTGCAGCAGAATGAGCAACTGTCCCCCCGTACGGGCCTCACGGGGAAGCGCCCCGTTCCGTTTTTTTTTTTTGTGTGTGTGTGTGTGTCTGTGTCTGTGTGTGTGTGCGCGTGTGTGTGCGTGCGTGTGTGTGTGTGTGTGTGTGTGCGCGTGTGTGGGTGCGTGCGTGTGTGTGGGTGCG